TCACAAAAGAATAGCCGCCCTCGACATCTTTTTCAATGGTACCGCACAAGTACCTTGCCTGGCTCAGCGTTCGCTCGAGCCCAGCTTTCAGAATGTCGACAGCACGGCTCTTCTCGGAATCTTCTAGGCGAAAAAATAGGGCATAATGATTGTAGGCACAGTTGAGCGTGGGATCGATAATAGAGAGCTTGAAACGCTCTTCTTCGGGGTCATGTTCCCAGCCCGAGGGACGGAGCTGGAAAACTTGCCGCGAAGACATGGTGAAATCGTGCTTCGACTTTGATGTGACGCAAGAATAAAGAGATAGAAAACGACGGGATCAGCACCCTGAAGTCTACAATACCAGGTTACTTGGAACTCTTCCCCTTTTAATTACTAACACCCCCATATCTGCAGCTCCCAACGGGGCGCATATGGCAACATGCCGATCACGGCGTTCCATCGCATCTTCTCAGGGTTGTACGGGGTGTCCGTATATCGATCTATAATATACCCACAACATGTGGGTATGTTGTTTGACTCTTCTTGCTTGCAACCTTGACACTCGTTTTTCTTGCGACCCTCCCCTCTTGAATTAGGTTTGGTACCGGTTCCACAAGTAAATGCACTCAGGGGGGAAAGTTAACTTACCACCAGTTCGAATAGGAGTGGTTCGAGAATAGAAAGAAAACAAGCAAGCGAGCTCATACCGCGTACTGGATACCCCAATCGGCACCCGTCGCTTACTGCGTGTTGTCTTTCCATTAACGGTATGGCTTGTCCAGCTTCGTGTGGTTTTCCTATATGGTGTGACCGACTTCGTGGTGCTGTCGACAATCTTGTCGGCCTGAACTTTATCTTCCAAGTCATTTCGCTTTGGGGACAAAGAATAAACGCAAAATGTTACCCGCCATTCTTGCCTTTCTGGGCGTTCTCTCCTATTTCTACTTTCGAAAGCGAGCACGCCAAAATCTTCCGCCTGGCCCCAGCCCGCTTCCTATTATTGGGAATGTCCTTGATTTACCACCGAGCAAAACCCCAGAGTATCAGCATTGGCTCAAACTCAAGGACACCTATGGTCCCATCAGTTGCATTACAATTCTTGGGCAGCTGCTCATCGTGATTCACGATCGGGATGCGGCGCATGATCTGCTGTCGAGGTCTTCCACGAAGACCTCTGGGCGGCCGTACATGCGCTTTGCAGACCTGTGTGGTTTCGCCTCGCTCTTGAACCTCGAACAATATAACGCAACCTATCGCCTGCATCGCAAATTGGTACATCAGCAATTCGGCACCAAGGCGGTGGCAGCCCGGTTTCGAGGCACCTTAGACGTCGAATCACACCGTTTTCTTCTGCACGTGCTAGATGATCCCGCCAATTTGGTACAGCACATCAAGACGTAAGTGCAGTTGGCCTCTTGAAAGATTCCATCTGATTAAGAAATCGCTCCCGTAATCTTCTTATTCTTTGGCTAAGTAAACTCGTTTATTCAGTGAAACCAGCGCCATCATTCTACGAATTACATATGGCTATGCTATATCGCCAAACACGCCCGACCCGTTGGTTGGTCTGATCGAGCACACGATGGATATCTTTGGGCTTGCAACAGTTCTTATGGGATGGGCAGTCGATATTTTACCTCCGCTCCAATACCTTCCAGAAGGCCTTCCGGGGACATCATTCAAGAAAGTAGCACGGGAATGGGGCGAGCAACTCCGGACGACGATCGAGCTTCCTTACAACTTTGTTCGGCAGCAAATGGCTAAAGGGACACACCGATTATCCTACGTCTCATCTCTCGTCGAGCAACACATTCAGAACGATGACGGCGTTGACAACGCCAACAAAGATATGGAGGACGCCATCAAGAAGACGGCCGCAGTAATGTACGGCGGCGGGGCCGATACTTCTGCGTCATCCATCCACAGTTTTGTCCTGGCCATGATGCTCTTCCCGGAGGTTCAAAAGAAGGCACAAGAGGAGATTGATACCATCGTCGGCAGCGATAGACTGCCTCAGTCTGAGGATCGCGAGCGCTTGCCGTACGTCAATGCTTTGGTGAAGGAAACCTTGCGCTGGTTTCCTGTCGCGCCGCTAGGCGTCGCCCACAGGACCGATGGAGATATCGACTACCGAGAGTTTCACATTCCAAAGGGAGCATATCTGCTGCCGTCGATTTGGTGGTTCTTACACGATCCACAGACGTATTCGGATCCTGCCTCTTTTAACCCCGATAGATTCCTAGCCCCTCGCAATGAGCCGGACCCTGAGGATCAAGTCTTTGGATTCGGTCGCAGAATCTGCCCAGGCAGGTACTTGGCCGATGAGAGCCTCTTCATCACCATCGCACGTCTCTTGGCGACATTTGACATTAAGAAGGCTGTGGACGAGTCGGGCAATGAGATTGATCCGGAGATCCATGCCACGAGCGGCTTGATTAGTCGGCTACTGGAGTTTCCATACAGCATCACGCCAAGGAGTACGAAGTCAGTTCACCTTATAAGATCTGTCGAAATGAAGCATCTACAGAACGATGACGATGCTGGGCTTGTCCGGGATGCTTTGGCAAACTGATTATGAATGCATCCGGATTCCACAGGGGCGCAATGAAAGTTGGGCTTCTAGGTACGAGCTAGGATGATACGTCTTGACGATGTTTGAAGATTCTCTGGTAGAGGGTACGGAACCAAAAACTTTTTTGAATACAAAAAATATGAAGGAAGCTTGTAGCTCAGTCCTCCTTTGCTAGTGTGGCCTCAAGACTTCCTTGGCATAAACACAACGTTAAGCGGGGAAACTGTCAAAGTACCTGCGTCCTTGTTCTCTGGCCCCCGGCATATCTCAACGTATATCCATGCACTATCGCGTTGGTTACAAACCGAGCTTCCATGAGACCGAGCTGATTGCCGATGCACACAACATGGCCTTGAAACGTCAATGAAATAATCGGTAGCTCTGAGATGCAGTGAACCTACCGGTGGAAAATGGCATAAACTGAGTATAACACGGAACTAAAACAATCGTGTCTCCTGGAAGCCACACATTATCAACTTGTAACCCCACTTCTGGCGTCATGCGCTGAACTCCCGAGGGCACCGGTGGATGTAAGCGAAGTGACTCGTCGATGCAGGCCTGAAGGTAGCGTAATTTGGAGAGCTCTACATGCTCGGACTTGTCATGATGTTGGAAACATTCATCGACCTCCTCTTGGCGCTTCTTATCTTCTCGTGAATGGCGAGCAAGCTCCATAAACAGGCATGTCAGCACGACGGCAACAACGTCACGAAAGATTCAATGCCAGTGTGCCAGCTCCAAGCCTGGGAATTCTCTCAAATGTTCTGACCTTCCGGTAACAGCAATCAAAATACGGCCCCGTAGAGATTCAACATGTCCTGAGGCGAATGGTCCTTTTTGTACTCGTAGTCCTCCAACACCCATGTTAGAATATATGGACTCTTGGGCTTGTTCTGGATGCGCTGCTGCACCTGTCCCGAGATCCAAGTATTGAACTTCCTCACGCCCGCGTTCCAGATTGCCGTTTTGCGATACAGCGGTAGTGCCCGCATGGCATAAGTGGACCTTCCCACGGCTTTTGTTTCGTGTAGAGAGTCCATATAGAAATGCGCGACGCCGTCCTCAAGCATGCGGAAGCCATGACCAAGGGAAAATTCACCCATGACATTGAAACTGTAGAAGTTGAACCAGAGAGACGCGTTGAAGTCTGTGCCGGAACAGGCTTCAATGCTGGCTAAGAGTTGGTTGCTGTACCTGGGAACGCGGGGCCCATAGTCACGTAGAGCTGTCCCAGGTTTCAGCTTCAAGACATATATGCATGGGGGCTTTTGGGTTCTGACATTTTGATGTAAAACCATATTTCCATGCTTTTCGACGTTTTGCGTGCGCCTCCCTATCTCGGACCATTTGCACCGAGACCATGGGATGCAGGAGATTGTACCAAGATCCCTTCATACAATCTGTATCGAGAAATACAGCATCGATGGCACCTCGTTTATTGACAGAAAGTTCTGTAGGCCGACTCGAACAACATCTCCATACTTCTCGTGAAGCTTCCGGACATCCTCGTGTGTGAGATCTTGCAAGATACGTAGAAGTTGGTAAACCTGGCCAAGAAAGGCCCCGGAGCCGATGGAAAAGATCTCGATACACGATCCATACTCGAGTAAATGCCTGCTACGAGCCATGAGAATAGGATACCTACGGTCCTAAATGCATCGGCCGGTTGCACCGTCTCAAGCTGATACGATTTCATAGGCTCCATTGTCCGCAGGGCCACGGGCGTGCCGACAGTCGCAAGATATGAAAGAGAGGAACTGTTGATGATGCGCTGCGCTGAGAGATCCCGTTCGACATATCGAAAAGCGCCGAGATGAAGTAAAAGGCCGATAGAAAACGAGAGCCCGTAACCTTTTGGTCTCAGGACGGCGCTCGCTGACATTGTAGTTCACAATCAGTCTTTAGCTGGCTGAGGTTGTTAAGGATCAAAATTAAGTAGCTACACGATGCCTTCCTCTATGTCACGTCAGCCCAACCCAACTCATAAGGCTCGAAATGGGCTGACCTGATGTCACTGCCTATAGTTGTTTACAAGTATGGATAGAAAACGCGGCGCCCTGCCAGCGGTACTTCCCCAACCTGGCCGACACTCAAATGTTCTCGGTTTAAACTACGTAGGAGGAATCCCAAATGTTACTATAGAGGCATGAGGGAGGACTGAGACAAGAATTGCGTGTTTCCTTCGTAATCCACAAGATCAAACAGATTTCCTTGCCATAGACAAACATAGGCCGCAACCAGTTGCCAATCGCAGCGTCGACGTGCATCGTCTGAAGTTTAGGTGGTGGTGGGACGTTTGGGTATAAACAGCTACAAGGAAGCTCAGAACTCTCCTCCTTCGGGACGTCAACCTATACAGCAAGCAGGGAATAGATCAGTGTTAGTAAGCAGCATGTAAAAAACCAATGTTTCATGGATACCCCTATACAGCCTCAAACAAAAGCAAAGGTCCATCCAGGATTCGAACCTGGGCCTACGGAAGGATATGATTGTTCAATCAGAATCCGACGTCCTAACTAACTAGACTAATAGACCAATCCTCCGAGCTCAAGCTCGGTTGGGGCGAGACGGCGCAAAACCAGTTGATGTGGGACGGTGGAATAAGTCAAGCCCTCATGTGGATACAAAGCGCAGGTTCCTCAACAACTAACCAAATTGGCTTACAGCATCTATAACGGTATTCTCGCTGCTCGTTATACCGAAACTAATAGCATGAGGATAAGAAACGTGGTTTTAGACCACTTCATCGAGCCTGACAAGTTGAATAGGTCAATACCCGTCAGCTTCAGGTCTGCATCTCTAATCGTGGACTGAAATCAGGTGCATTCCCTTCCCATCCAGTGAGAAGATGATATTCTGAATCACATTCCAATTGTGACTGGACGATTGACTAACAATAAAAAACGGCGTGGATCAGCTTTCTACGATCAATGATAACTAAAAGGATAACTATAGCGGGTGCTGGTCACGTGGTGAGCTGCCGATCAGGACCCTTGCTCGGATATCCACCCCAGCTTGTATTATCTTCATTATCTGCTTCCGATATACGCACTATCGCCTCCACAATAACATGTACGATATCAATAACAATTTCGGATTCGTTCTGTGCTCCGATAATACCCGTGGTGGAAAGCCGGGGATTATCCGAACGGGACCCCGGCGTATCATCGTGGGGCCAACGTCATTTCTTCTTTACGTGTACGGCAAATCGCGACTTGATTTTCTTTCTCCCCAATCACTTTATCTTGGGTATCCGAGCCCCCAAAAGACGCCCAAGTTTGCAGCCTTCCAGAAAAACACCCCCTCTTGAGGAGAAGATGGTCGCTCAATCAGACGGCAAGACCTCGCCGTGGCTGTCTCTCAGCGCTGGAGGCATTGCTGGCGGTGTGGAAATGGCGTGCACATACCCCTTCGAATTCGCCAAGACGCGAGTGCAACTCTACGGGCACCAGAAGGGATCGCGTAATCCGTTTGCGATTGTCCTGCGCGTTGCTCGCGACGAGGGGTTGCCGGCCCTGTACAAGGGATGCAGCACGATGATCGTGGGTTCCATCGGCAAGGACGCTGTCCGGTTCGTCGTCTTCGACAGCATCCGCTCAGTGTTTGAAGACAAGAAAACACATACCATGACCCCTATGCAGAGCATCGCCTCGGGAATGGTGGCCGGCATCGCGGGCAGCACAGTCATCGTAACCCCAAGTGAGCGGATCAAGACGGCGCTCATCGACGATGCCAAGACGACAAAGAGATTCAAGGGCGCGATAGACTGCATCACCACACTCACCCGTGAGCAAGGCGTGCTCAAGGCTTTGTGGCGGGGATACATCACGACGACTCTGAAACAAATCGGCACCACGGGTTTCCGGCTTGGCAGCTACAGCATTATGAAAGACTTTGAGCGATCGCGGGGAATTAGCCCCGACGGCCCGGTAATGAGCTTTGCCAACGGCGCCCTTGCCGGCACCGTGACTACGATCATGACGCAGCCATTCGATACAATCAAGACGAAAGCGCAGCAAGCAAAGGCGGTTGGCACGATGGAGTCATTCCGAGCCATCATGGCTGAAGACGGAGTTAAGGGTCTCTGGAGAGGCACTGTCATGCGCTTAGGCCGAACGGTGCTGTCAGGCGGCATTCTGTTCACGGCCAACGAAGAGGTTCTGAAGCTTCTGAAGGTTCTTACAGGCAAATGATTCCACTTGATGAATTGAAGTAGCGGGCATGTGCACATTAGACAAGGACGTCATGAAGGCGACGGAAGTTCAAGGATGCATGAGCATTTCATAGATCATATATACCACATCAAAAATATCTAGATCAAGGTACACATAGATTTTGGCAGCAATTCATAAAAATCGCGTTGGAAAATAAGGATGTTATCACTGCCAAGGACAGGACCCAAGCCAAAGACGTTGCAGAAAACGACTGTTTGAGTAGAATCTCGTGGGAGATCGCTCTATGTACTAGTGTGCGGAGTGTAAGTATATAAGTATTGCTGCTCATGTAATCTATGGAACATAGCCGGGAATGTTAATGTCGACAGACTTCAATTGCGCTGCACCAAACTGGGTTTCTCACTGCGTCATTGTCTCTGTTGTTCACCTTAAGACTCATTCCCCATGAACGCCTATGTCCTTCAGATGGGAAACCACCACTTTACCTTTGCAGTGCCTCCTCGCCTTCTCCAAGCACGAGAGCCATCTCAACATGGAGTCGCCCCAGGCCAGCGTGTATTTGCCTTCCAACGGAAACACACCTGCCCAGTATCCGCTCCAAAGACACACGTTGGCCTCAGAGTCGCTGTCCTCATGACCTGATGGCTCCTCGATCTTTCTCTGTTCCGTAAATCTCCCTATCAATAACCAGTCCAGAACGTCTGGAAAGCCATGAGCAGCTACAACTGCACTTCTCCACCCTCCCTTCGTCTTGTAATGGATCCTGGCACCTGCATAAACGAGTAACTTGACGATTTCTATCCGTCCCATATTAGCTGCGGTTATGAGTGCCGTTCCAGCCGCAGAGCCTTCGAATTCGAGGTTACATCCCGCCTCTAGCAGAACTTTGACTTGGTCTACGAGTCCGTAATAAGCAGAAAAGCACAGGATGCTAAACGCTTTATCGCCGTCATTTCCTTCCACCTCAGATATCTGACGCATGAAATCGCGTCCCAGTCGACGGTACATCAGCCGCAACTGTCTGTGCATTGAGGCGGCATCTTCGACGGCGTGGACATACCATAAAAGCTTCCACAGCGCTCTTCCTGGTACGAATGCATGCAGACGGACACACTGGTCCGAGTTGAGCATGTAGGTCGCAAGTTGGATGTGAAATAACAGGGATGTCCAGATGGGCATTCCAAAGCCCCCAACCTGATTGAAATTGATGCCGGCTTTTTGCATCGACACGGCCATATTGACTGAGTCGCATATCAAGCCTGAATCCGACTCGAAATTTTGGCTGACACTAGCCCCTTTGTCGAGGAAAAATTGGACCATGCCGGGGTTGGCATCACAGATTGCGACCTCGATGGGGGTACGACCATGACTCTCTCGGATATGCATAGAGGCCCCGTGAGTAGTGAGAAGCTTGACCATTTCCAAGTCATCGACTTTAACCGCAGCATGTAACGGGGTCCTTTGATTCTTGTCTTGTCGGTTGACATCGGCTCCGTACTGCAGAAGGAGTCGGACAATCTCCACGTGCTTCTCCTCCACAGCATCGTGCAATGGCGAGCTATCACGGTACCGGCCCCGGCGAGTCGGGACCTCGTTGACAAGCTCTCTGGCCAGGTTGCGTCCTTCGACCGTGCCGAGTTCTGATACGTAGGACAGCAGTATCTCAAGAACTTTGCAGGAGTTCCTATCGATGGCGACCTGGACCGCAAAGGAGTTGTCCAAAAGCCACACCATGTCTTTCTGAGGAATCAGGCGAAGCCACGCCGAGACCTCTTCCGGCCGGTCGTTCTCCCACATGAAGAAGTCAAGACATGTCGACCCTTTTATTGGCCACTGAGGGATCTTATCTTCGTCGCTGTCAGACGTTGAACAATCGGAGGATGTGTCCGTGTTATTGTCGTCAAAGTAACGGACACGCGAGCGCATTTTCAATCCATCTTGCGCACAGGAAACGGCTTTGAAGCTTGCTCCTCTTGCGATGAGAGTATTCACGATTGTGGTCGGGATCTCCCGTTGCGAGAAGGCGAAGACGAGGGCTGTGCAAGTGTGGCAGGATCTCATCTTTATATCAGGCGGGCACCCGTCGTTGAGAAGCCTTTCGCAGACTTGGTGATTGCTGTCGTCGATGGCATCTTCCATTGCTTTAGACATTGACGCCATCAAATGTCTTTGAACCCGTTGGTTCTCATTTGTTGTCGAGTCCGTCGGGACTCTTCGAAGACTCGATGTGACCAGGTCTGTGAGTCTTTTGTTCTTCCTTTTCATTGCGATGTCCAGCGGCGTTTCTCCCCTGTTGGTTTTCAAGTGGCTTGCACCTAACTCGAGGAGAAGCGCGGCAGTCGGCTCGTTCTGGTGCAGAAGAGAAATGTGCAACGGAGTCAGACCTGAGGAGGTTTGAGCATTGATATTGCAGCCCCGAGACACCAGGGCTTTGATGGTGTCTGTCAGTCCAAAAAAAGTTGCGCAGTGCAGAGGAGTGGAGAGATCTGCCGCAGCGATGTCAATATTGGTAGCAAAACCACGATCGAGCAAGAACACGACCGTGTCCGGCGATGCAATTGCCGCGAGATGTAGAGCGCTGATCTTGTTGAATAGTGATCCACCATTCCAAGTTGCTAACGTTACTTGCACTTGAAAGTCCCAAATCGGTTCCGGGCAACCTGCAACGGCAATGTCCTCGAGGAGATCGATGTATCCGTGGGCACAAGCCCATGATACCGGCGTCCAGCCGTTGACGTCCGGAACATGCAAGGTCTGGTATGCGCCATGACGAAGAATCAACTTTGCTGTATCTACATGGCCGGCGCTTATGTGTGTGCTCAGAGGCGAGAAGTGGCTTTTGCTGCTGAGAATTTGGCAGTCAACTTGTTCCAGCAATAAACGCTGTACCAAGTTAAATTTGTGGTTTTCGAGCGGTTGTCTGACCTGTGCGAATCCTGTGGTCCCGATTCTGGGGTATCCCAGTTGCGGCGGCGGCGGCGGAGGCTGTGGAGAGAGGGCGTTCTGCGAAGGCGTCGTAGAGCGGAAAGTCGGGCAGCCGAACAAGTTGATGCCGCGACCATCTGCTATCCCAAGTCGATGGAGCAAGCCCAATCCCTCTCCAGAAGGTGTCAACTGGTTGAGATCAGCCTTTTCGACTCTCTCGAGGATCTTGACTAGCATTCTATGCCCGTTAGGACCGCTGCCGTTAGAACATAGGAACTCCAACGCGTGGATTGAATTCTCTCTTTTGCAGACATTGGTCCCGGCTTGAAGAAGACGGTCAAAGAGAAACATGGAATCGTAATAGATGGCCCATTTCAGAACGGTGACATCGAAACCACTGTTTTCCAGATAATCCCGATGGGTTGTGGAGTCCAG